TTGATTATTTCTTATAGAGAGACGTTCATCCTAACATGGATATCATGTAATATACGTATATTACATTGTTTTCCGTGTCTTCAAAAAACCGCGATGACCTCACAATTATTGCTAGATCTTCCCCATGGATACAAACAGTGTTGGATGCGAGTGACACACCTTGATTTATTGGAAGGCTATGTATACTATATGTGTTTATCACACAGCTTTCGTTTTCAAAGAAAGGACAGCCCATTCGTGCGAGTTCAAATAGAGAAAACTGCGTTCTCTTTCCTCTGCCTGCTTTTTGGAAGCGGTTATAATCAGCTGCTTAATCTTTATTTCCCGTACTCATGGGTAACATCAATATTGCAAACGTCAACAGCAGCAACCACTCCCTCACCGTAACATAAATTGTTTGTTTGTTTTGTTAGCTTGTTGTTTAACGCCACACTCAGCAATATTCCAGCTATATGGCGGCGATCTGTAAATACTCGAGTCTGGAGCAGACAATCCAGTCATCAACATCATCAGCATCGACCTACGGATGGGTTATGATGACATGTGTCAACAAAGTCAGTGAGCCTGACCACCCGTTAGTTGCCTCACGACATGCATGGGTTGCGGAAGGTCAAATCGAACCTGGATTTTCATGGGTTACAGAAGTATGTACATGAAATAAAGGTACCCATGTTTGAAAAGTGGATAATTATTTGTTGGACGTCATAGTATGCTTCTAAATCAATTTGCCAGTAGGCGTCCCCGGGCTCGGCAGTATTGGAAAGAAAATATGTGTTCACGTCTCCATCAATCGCCAGTTCAGCCCCTTTTCCGAGTTGTGTTGAACTTGTCGTCAGTCTTCTTCCTGTTAGGATCACTGTAACAACACCAGGAAAATGCTATATAAGATATTGTACCAAAAGAGTCCTTAAAAGGTGTTCCTCATGGTTCGGTTTCAGTGATAGAATGCATACATGAATACAAATCATAACATTTCGCAGTTTCATCCAAAGTCCATATACAATCTTGGTCCGGGCGTAAAACTAAAAAAGAAGAGATTGATAATTGATGTTTTATGTACTCAAGCGTTGACAGAGAAAGCTGTTTACTAACATTCAAACACCGAAATCTTAGTAAAGTTATTTTCTGTTTTGTTTGTTTGTTGTTTAACGCCACACTCAGCAATATTCCAGCTCTATGGCGGCGGCCTGAAAATAAAGGAGTCGGGACCAGACAATCCAGTGATGAACATCATGCGCATCGATCTACGCAACCCGGGATGCGATTACTCCTGGTCCGGTTTGTCGCCTCTTACTACAAGCGTGTTGGATCGCTAACTACCAATTACGACTGTCAAAGCAAAATATTGGACATCAATATCTTGAGAGATAATGGTACTTCTTGTCCCGTTGAACCACGTGCAAAAGTTGAATCAACAGTACGCTGTTGACAGTGACAATAGTGGGTGAGTGAGTAGGGTTTTAGTTTAACGTCCCTTTTATCATTATTTCAGCATTCACACGATATTGCAAACCAGAAATGGAGTCAACTATTGTACCATTGTGATCAATTAAACCTGGGTCTTTGGCCTGACGACCTTATGCTTTAACCGGTCGGTGACCCAACCTCCCCAACAGGGACGGGATGTGTGGATGTAGACACCATACAACCCTAGTGGCTAGCTAATCGTGTAAAGATTTAAAGGAAGAAGGTAAGAGTTTTAAACAAGTTAGATGACTAACTGAAACATTTGTACAAAAACAACGTATCTAACTACGAAAACAGACGATCGAGAGAATAGATCACGACGGGATATTATAGTATTGTATGTTGTTCCAGAGAATCAGGGTAATGGAGAGAGAGACATGGGGGGATTGTGAAGTATAAGGGGGTTCTCACTTGAGATGGATGATGCTTGGAACGTTGATAAGGGAGGGATCGAGAGAGTGCATATAGTGGGAATGCAGAACGACTAAGGTAACCCTGTCCTACAGTTGTTCAGTTGGCAAGACGTAAAACTAAATCGAGATTCTCAAATTAGCAAGGAACAAAGCAAAGGAATCTCCTGTAAAAACAGGTGAGGATTTCATTTTTCAATGAGGGAGAAAAGGAGAGAGTTCTTACCACGTCTCGTCAGGGCTAGAGAAGAAGGAAAAGAGGCATTCATATGGTTTGATAATCTTGTGAAAAGTAACATTCTACATGAAGTCAACACTGGTGAGTTGAAACAACGGTCAAAACAACTAGACAGGGCAGGCAACACACAGGAAATCCATTCAAAAACAACTTTCACAACACGTCAGTGCGCTTTAATGTAACTATCCGTGACTGAAAAGAAATATATTTGAGTAATATTAACGCGAAAATGTAAATTTCTATTATTGGTCTGGCTGAAACATGATGTTATTGGTATTTTGATTGTTGTAATTAACTGCGAAACATAGACTACATGCTAAGTGTACAGATGGAGGTGTATCTGATCGGTTCTAACAGAGAATGTCTCATTGACACAATGGCCTCAAAGGAACAAAGACATAAATGCACAAAGTTACCAGCCAGCCACAGGAGGGAGAGGATCTTTATAAAGAGATTTCTTTAAGATATTGTTACAGGCAAAAAGGACGCTATATCCTTCTAAGTGTGAATCTGCTAAGGGAAATGCTGCGTTCGTAAATCACGTCGTTGGTCAAATTCAGGTATATAATCGGTAACTCAAAAGTGTTCGAAGTTACAACAAATAAGAAGGAGCGCATATGTCTTTGTAAGGCTGGTTACTACAGAATATAAAACAGAAAATTAAATGCTTCATTGGTTCACGTTCTTTAAAGTCCTGTCTGACTGATTTACGACGCTTTCAGTAAAACAACTTCATAAAGGTCTGCACGTCCTTGACTTCGTCTCGTTCTTCCACATCCATAAGTTATCATGTTTCGAGTAATGACAGTCTGTTTCAAGGGCGTTTGATGGTGATTAAGGTTGTTATGGTGGCATCAAATGATTCTCAGGTTAATCAAACGGTTCGTGTTGGCATTACTTCAAACGATGTGAAAATAACAGATGTTTTAGTCTTGCAAATCACTCAAATTACAGAGCGGGATATTAAGCAACGCCGATGTTAAGAGGGCTTGGTAACCGCATTCTACACACTTGATGACAATGAAACACATATATCGAAGATCACCGTGTCAAGGCAAATGCCTTTCACATATGACCCACTCCAACCATCAATTGAATGGTTTTCGGAAGGGTGTGATGGGTTATATGAAAATGCTACCTTTCTGTTGCCTGACCAGGTTGTGGGTCTCAAGAGAGTTTATGGTGTATTTTGCCCAACCACGAGCAATTCCATGAGGCAGGAATACAACTGGTCAATATATAAATTATATTTTTTATGCAAACTATGTGTAGCAAACATAACATCAGCATTCTCTAACACAATGATATAACAGTTCACTCGACCATGCGCACAATCTATCGGTATTTTAAGGCAAAAATAATTCTCATTAAAAGGATTTTTAATGGTATTTTATGTTTGGAGTCATAGCCCTGGAGAAGAACCTTACGTTAATCAAGACAGGGACTGAGATGCTATTATTGAAAACATGCCTGAAGTCGGTTTTTGTGTTGTGGTGGTAACAATTGCAGATGATGTCCTAACAGACGATGACGTCACTTATGAAGAGAAAAAAATGAAAGCTCTATATGTTGAAAGGTGGATACTATGTTCAACATTCAGTGATTGCATTCATTAGACGTAATTTATTATTTTTAAAAATCATTGTTAGTTTTATGATACAACTGTTGATTGTGTGCCCTTTCTTGGTCAACACTTCGTTTGCCGCCTCCGTGGTGTAGTGGTTAGAGCGTCCGCCCGGAGAGCGGAAGGTCGCGGGTTCGATCACCGACCGCGTCATACCAAAAGACGTTAAAATATGGTACTGCCTGGCGCTCGGCATTAATGGGTACAACAAGGACTGGTCGGCTCGGAGTCAGTATACTGTGTCTGAGCGGGGTATTCATGCTTCACTGCGGCATGGTATCTCAGTGAGCTAGCACTATAAAACCAGCTTCAGTCTGGGCTAGTACAATCAGCCGCACATATACATACACACGCATGCACGTCGTCATATGAGCGAAATATTCTCAAGCACGACGTTAAACCCAATTTCACCTCACCTCACCTCAACACTTCGTTCTTTGTAATTCAATGAAACATGAAATGCCTGTTCCTTTACCCCCCTGATGGCTTGAAAATGTTAACCTCTGGATATTTTGATAACGAAAATAGGGCGCACGTACAAGTTCAAGGAAGTCATTCATGTACGTTTTTCGTGCGCAATCATCATAATGGGTGCGCGAACGTGCAACAAAGAATTTCCTCCACTACGGCCTATAGAGCATCATAGCGTTCGTGTATGTGAGCACTACGTATCCTGGCTCAGACATCGGTAGAGTGAGTGAGTATGTTTTTCGGCCGCTTTTAGCAAAATGTCATCAATATCACCGCGGGGGACACCAAAAATGGACTTCACACATTGTACCCTTGTGGGGAATCGAACCCAGGTTTTCAGCATGACGACCGAACGCTTTAACCATAATGCTACCCCACCGACTCCGACATGGGTAGACATGACGAATACCCTAGATATGAAATGTCATCTACTGGAGATGAGAGCAGCGTATTTGCGTTGCGAGTACCGATCTCTAATGGAAGCCGCTTCCAATAAACGGAGGTATGGTCATCTCACATTCGTCTCACTAAATTTCTTAATTTACATAGGTGCGTCCAACGTTGCCTTTTCAAATGGCTTTCCTTGTTCCAAACTACCTGAAATATGTTCTGGTGTTTTGGTGGTGAACATATAAAAGTACAACACATAGGTATAAACATATCAACAGTATACTCCATTTACGTATTTACACAGAGACATACACACACACGTCCATATGCTGCAACATGCTCGGTTGGGAACGATCAAACGCCGTAATTTCTCCAAGACAGAGCTTTATTCAAAACTTACCTGACGACTGTTCTGGTGTTGTGGCGGTGACAGCTGCAGGAGGTGTTTTAGAACAGAAAGTTAGAAAACTCAACATGCCGAAAGGTGGAAACTGTGTATAACATATAGTCACTGTATTCATTTGCATAACTTGCATTGTTTGTTAAAGTAGCTCATTAAAACTGTTAATTCTGTAACCTTTATATCTTTGCTGTCTGACACCAACGTTTTGCACCTAAGGATTTCTGGTAGACGTCTGGTTGTAACTTTAAATTCAACACGTTACACAATGCCCTGTTTTCCAGTAGAGACAGTAAATCGACGTAATGATATCACATTGTCAGACGGTTCGTTTGATCATATGTGAAGCCCACCTGAATGAGTGAGTAAGTGAGTGACTTAAGATTTATACTCACATCGGCAATATTTCAGCCATATGGTGATTTTAACAAATTACAGTGAGTGAGTGAGTTGAGTTTTAATCGGCACTCAGCAATATTGCAGCTATATGGCGGTGGTCTGTTAATAATCGAGTCTGAACCAGACAATCCAGTGATCAACAGCATGAGCGTCGATCTGCACAATTGGGAACCGATGACATGTGTCGACTAAGTCAGCGAGCCTGACCACCCTATTCTGTTAGTCGCCTCTTACGACAAGCATGGGTTACTGAAGGCCAATTCTAACCTGGACCTTAACGGGTTTAACAAATTACAAATTCATAATAAATGCAATTAAATTATATGAAAATTCATGTCGACGAAGGGCAGTAAAATAACTAGATTATCACAGATAGAGATTTTAAACAAGCATGTAACTGTAAAATTAATCAAGTTTATGAACATTACAATATAAAAGAACGGGCTAGAGATCACCAGCAACTGAAGCTAGGTTACCATACTAGGGACCACGGGGAACTACAGTACCTTTGCTACCTGCACGGACCCTAGCTGGATTTACACCATCCCTTCAGTCACTGGTGAAATTTAGCCATTATTTAAAACAACAAATATTCTAAGATTAAACTTCGTAGGTTGAACTAATTTTACAATTCTTTAACCCACCTCGAGGATACAGCCTCTGACCATACAACTTAATCTCTACCAATATTAAAAATCAACTATCTAAACAATGTAAACAAATATCAATTAATTCAATTTCTTTTAAAAATCCAAGGATTAAATGAGGAGCAACATGATTAAAAGATCCTTCATTGTTTTTACATCGAACTATTTTTCCTTTGTGATGGAAAAATGAAACCTACCTGAGGACACTGTCGTCGTTGCTGTTGTTGTAGTCGTGATTGTCTCAAGGGACGTTCCTTTGGAACAGAAGAAGAGAAATACAATGAATTGATTGATAGATTACTTCAAGCATGATTTAAATGTAACCGTTCCTTGTGTATCATATAATCATTTTCAGGTAAATGTCATTTCGGAAACCAATAGCATGGGATGATGAGGTTCCTATTTCACAACGTCAGTTGTTTGTATATTGTATGCATGGAATGTCCCAAGAGGTTGGATAGCTCCTTGACTCGCATGGGGAGCCTGATATGTTTTGGACATGGACATTCACTAGGACATCCGACGAGAATAATGATTGCGCCCTCATATTCCGTACCTACTTCGTGTTTACCTACATGGTGTTTCAAATGTATTTGATCGTTTCTTTGTGTGTAAGCACTAAGGGACTGGCTGCAACAAGCAACAGGAAATCGTCTGTACATTTGCCAGCAAGACGTCATCCCGCAGCTTACAGATGAGAAATGTCAGTGGTGTGGGAAACGTCAACACTGGGATAATCAACGTTGGACTTATGGCATATTTTCTGATTGAATCGAGGTCCATTGTTGACTACCATGACCGAAGAAATCGAGTTTTGTTCTGGAATCACGGTGATGGGCTAAACTGCGTTGCATATTGTCCATGGCTGAGTCAGACAGGTCAATACTACCGCACAACATAATAGCAGCACCATTTTTCCAGAGATGATAATGCACGTGTCAACCTTGCCAGGATTGAGACCAAATTCCGTCCAGCCATCACAAGTCATGTTGAAAACTCCTGACTTTTTCTCCGTTGAACAAGCCGAGGAGGTATGTGGCAATCGTCAACGTAAAAATCCTACAATCACCCTCCGTATTTCAAATCTATTCCTGTATTGCCGATTGCACGGTTCTTGTTTAGTTTTTTTTCTGTCCTTCCATGCCATCATAATTTCAATACATAAGGAATATACTTAGCTTTTCGCCGTGTTTAGCAGTGCTTCCAAAATATGACTGCTCAACACACCTGAAAAGGGCCTCTTAAATTGTCCCAGTGTTGGAAACCGAGTCCGTTCCTTCGGAATGGTGAGCGAACCACTACTGCTGGACTCGTATTAGACTAACCTGCGCAGTACGTGTACGCGTTTGTGACAAGTAGGCGGGGCAGGGAATCTAGACGAATACACTTGGTTGCTGCAGGTAGATCGGCGATTAAGCACGTGCAATACATGCTGACCGTGGATTGAACTCAATACCGCTTCTGTTTAACACGTGTCTCGTAGAGCGATTCAGTTCAGCAGGACACCATCTCGACACGAGTCAAATGTTGAATGTTTGCAGATTTTAATTAATTTAACAAGTCCAAGTTAGGGAGGCAAGGGTAAGTTGTTCATTCTCAGGCAAGGGAGTTAGCCTACAATGTTATTATTTACATGGAAAAGACGTGTGCAACCAAAGTAGACGCTATGTCGAAAACTAGCAATGCTACTGGTCTTTCCAAGGCAATTTTAAAATGTATTAAAGCGGAAGGTCATAGGGGTGCGAGTAGGCCTGCTATTATTAGTCCAACAAAGTTACGCAAACCCAAGACTTCCAAGCACAAACTTGATGATTTTGACCGGTGTGCAGTCCGTCAATTTGTACAAAGGTTATATGGAGTACAAAAGCAACTGCCTACTCTAGATATGATATATGATATGGCAAGAAGTCAATTGCATTACCAGGGTTCAGAGGAAAGTTTTCGAAAAAATCTGAAAGACATGGGGTTTAGGTGGCGAAAAACGCAGTCAGATTGTAAGGTTTTAATGGAACGGAAAGACATCGTTGCAAAGCGCATGGAATACTTACCTGCAATAAAAAATGTCTGGCAAAATGCAACAAATCGGGCACTGTCTATAGAGTAGACACTTTGTTGAAACAACATGGCCATGATGTACTACGTCTTCCTCCTTAGCACGCAGAACTGAACCCAATTGAGTTGATTTGGGCCAATGTAAAAAATTATGTTGCTAAAGAAAACTTTTTGCAGTTCACAAAAACTTCGCAAAGAGTACCATAAACGAGAAAATGTCTGCAATCGGTGCCAAGGAATGGTCCGAATGTTGTAAACATGTTTAAATCATTGAAGATGGCTACTAGCAACGGGAAATTGCAGTAGAATAAGAATTTGACAGAATCTTGATTGAAGTAGGACTGGCAAGTGATAAAGACACAGAGGCCGATTCAGAAAGTGACGACTCAGACCGGAAGTACGCCTAAATCAGTAAATTCCACAATGGATCTATTCGGTATTTGACCCATGTGTGGCGAGGATGCACCAGAATATATGCCGATTATACATCCGTTTGTAAACATAAAAAAATGTTCTTTTCTCTAGCACTTGTGTGGGGTGTTTTGTAAATATTGTTAAATTTGTCTTGGTTCAGTTTCTAAGGATCTTAGTAGATATCATAGGACATAGTATGATATAACAATCAAAACACGATTCGCACGAGGAAATTGAACTTTTCAAGTTTTAGACGACAACGTGTTTCCCTCATTGTTCAAATAGAATGTTCTGGAGGGCGTTCCCATACATGCAAATTGGGGTCAGACCGTGGCTCATCTAACTTTAGTACATCAGTAGTTGAGGCCACCGTCAGGCGAGTAAAGACTTTATGAAGTCAACAATATTTCAGACGCACCTTCCAACACTGTCTGCACTGCCTGGTCTGCATATATCACTATTTCATGAAGAACAAGTGGTGGTTGGTCGGTGGTGACACGTATGTACTGAACAGCAAACAACCCTTGGCACATCCACGTTGAGGTAGTTCCGGGGATATTCTGGCCGCACAGAAAAGTGTGGGCAGGTTCAAAAGTCGAATATTTGGAGAGTGAAATTGTTCTGTTCTCAGGCGGATTTCGAACTGAAAAACAAGCATTTAAGTAATAAGTGAATAAACCAGTTTTGAAACACCGTTTTAAACAAATACAAATTCAGTTCAATGTGGAAGGAACGGTCAAAGCGAGAACAGACGGTTTCGTCTTTTTTTAAATCCACAATCATTCAATGTAAGAAAAGTACTGAACTTTGAACAGGTATAAAGCTTTTGGCGTCAGGGCCACGTGTGATCTTTGAAATATACGTATGAGACAACAGTGATATTTTCCAACCAGTCTGACTTCCTGCACGATGTACGTTCAAATATACATGGTTATAACGTGGTTTTCGAGTGACAACGTAATATATCTGTTGTTTAGTTTAACCACACGCTATACCTGTCTTAACTGCATGACGTCACAACAGAAATAATTCAGTATAATAGTGACGACATTACGGTGAAACATTCGCATGGGCTTTTAGTTACTGGTGGCTTTTACTTCGACTGACTGAGTGAGTGAGTTGGGTTTTATGCCGCACTCAGCAATATTCCAGCTATATGGTGGCGGTCTGTAAATAATCAAATCTGGACCAGACAATCCAGTGATCAACAGCATGAGCATCGGTCTGCGCAATTGGGAACAGATGACATGTGTCAACCAAGTCAGCGAGCCTGACCACCTGTAAGTCGCCTCTAATGACAGGCATAGTCGCCTTTTGTGGCAAGCATGGGTTGCTGAAGACCAATTCTAACCGGGATTTTCACGGGTTACAGAAGCATGTGTATGGAATAGAGGTACCCATGTTTGGAAATTGGATAAGTATTTCATGGACGTCATAGTAGCCTTCTAAATCAATTTGCCAGTAGGCTTCCCCGGGCAAGGTATAGTTGGACATAAAATATGTATTCCCGTCTCCATCAATCGCCAGTTCAGGCTCATTTCCGGGTAGCGTTGAACTTGTATCCAGTCCTTTACCCGTTAGGATCACTGTAACAACACCGGAAAAGCTATACAGCTATATTGAATGCATACATGAACACAAATTAGGTAGAACTTGTTCAGAACATTTCGCACCACAAACAGCTCATCTAAAGTACATGTACAATTTCGTGAAAAACTAGATTAACAAAGAACGGCAACTGATGTTTCAAGCACTCAAACGTGGATACAGAAACGTATTACTCACATTTATACACTGAAATTTTAGTTAAATTTTGGAGACTTTCGAGAGTTTGTTTCTGTGTTTGTTTGTTGTTTAACGCTGCATTCAGCAATATCCCAGCAATATGGCGACGGTCTGTGAAAATATCAAGCCTGGACCAGACAATCCAGTGATTGACATCATGAACATCGATTTACGCAATTGTGCTACGATGACATGTGTCAACGGGCGTGACAACGTGAGCCTCTTTGGCGCATCTTACGACAAGCATGGCTTGTTGAAGACCAATTCAAAAACAGATTATGACAGGTCTCTGTCAAATGTGTTCCTCATCGTTCGGTTTCCCTGATTGAACGCGTAAATGGACACAAATTATGCAGAACTTGTTCAGAACATTTTGCACCACAAACATTTTTATCCCCATTTGGGGAATCGCATGGGGAACATCAATGTAGATTCAAACAAACGACTAACATGTTTTCACCTTGGAGCGTTGATGAAAAGGGCCGGTGTAAAAAAACGATGGACAAAATATTAATGATTTCAGCAATATTCCAGCAATATCACGGCAGGGGAAACACAAAATATGTTTCAAACAAAGTACCCACGTGTACTTTACGTGTAGTAAAGCCGGGTCTTTGGCATGACGTGCGAGCTCTTTAACCACTAGGTTACCCAACCGCCCTTAGAGTGACAAGCACGGTCCACATGGTTGTCAAAATATAATAAGGCGCTAATAATCTGTTTGATTGGCATTTGAGAAGTTGGCTAATAATAAGAAAGTATGATTTCACTTATAGCTGGAGTGTTCTCATCTGTTGATTTTATCAGTTCATTGTATGCAGATTGGATGAGATATCCCTGATCTCAGTTGACTGAGGGGTATACAATGAACTGATAAACAGCTATCATTGCTACTTAGTCTTATCAGCCATGTATATTTTGTATCTGCCTCATGGACTATTGGCTTCTACTTATTGTCACTACATTATTACCACCATCCATTTTTTAGTTGTTAATCCCCTTGATTCATACCTACATGTTGTTATTACATAATCCCTGTTGATGTATATAAGTCCGTTCTGTACTGCAGTACTTAACTCTTGCTTGACAACGGTATAAGGATCTATACCGAAATGTCGCATCATATACATTTGTATGATAAAGAAGTTGCATCCATAAAGTATCTTACTTTCCTAAGGCACTAAGAAGTTACTAATTGTCAGAGCAAACATATGGGAACAGTCATCAATATCTTGAGAGATGTACTGTTACCCCGTAAACCTTGTGTAATTTTTGAACCCATGTGGAGAATCGAACCCGGTTCTTATGCGAGACAAGCGAACACTTTAATTACTAGGCTGTGCTACCACCTAAACAGAGACAAGATGTGTGAATGTAGAGATAGGACAGTAACAAACTATGAGTGGGTAACTAATCTTGGAGACATTTAAAGGAAGAAGGTAAAAAGAATAAGCATCAATGAAAAAAACTAGTACCGGGGAAAAAAGAGACTGAAGTTATTCGTATATTTACGCATATCGTTGACTTATTAAATATCAGAAGATACTATACCTAATTATATAATATGAACGATTTTTTGAGTGGTTCAGATTACAGGATGTTCTACAGGATACGCTGTGTGCATTTTCCAGAGTATAAACATCAGTCATTACTAGAATAGATACAGACGACAGGCTGCAGCTATTCATAATTATAGTTACACGTATCATTAACTTAATAACTATGTGAAGATATTATACCCGATTATATGACATGACGAATCAGGACGAAGGAGAAATTGAGTTGAAAGGTATGTGAAGAGGCTGTAAGGAGTGGGGGGGGGGGGTGTCTCACTTGAAATAGATGATACTTGGAACGTTGACAAGGTTGGGTTTGAGAGAGCGCACAGAAGGGGGGACAAAGGAATAGGCTAACTTAAAACAAGTGGACAGGGCAAGTCAACACACAGGAAATCCATTCAACAACAACTTCCACAGTATGTCTGTGTACTTTTATGTTACTGTCAGTCAATGAAAAGAAAATACCTTAAAATAATATTAACATAATTTAGAAACTATCTAAAATTTCTATTATTGGTCTGACTGGACTTCAATTTCATATTTGATTGTTGTGATTAACTGACAACGCTGAGTGTACAGTTGGAGATGTATCTGTTGTTTGTTTCTATTTTTTTCTTTATTTTCAGAACTATAAATTATCAAGATCAAAGATTTGATTCTGAGTATCGAAAAGAAAAACAACAACTGTGGTCTAAATCGGGAGTCATCTCTTCTCTCGTACAGTCTTCGTGATTGATATCTTACTAAGTTTGTCAGTTGGTCTAAAATTATAAAGCTAAAATAGAACGTCTCATTCCTACAAAGGCCTCAGTGGTACAAAGACATACATCCACAAATGTATCAACAATCCACAGGAGTGAGTGAGTGAGTTAATATTTAACGTCACATCGGCAATATCTCAGCCATATCGTGACGAAAACAATTTATACAATATAAAGAGAAAACGTTTTGAAGATTAAAACCTGTCGACGATGGACAGTAAAAATACTAGAGAATCACAGATATGAATAAAACTAGCGAGCAAAGCTAAACCATTTCAATTAAACAGGACAATACAGTTTAAAACACGGGCTTTAGATCGCCAACAACTGAAGGTAGATCACCATGCTAGGAACCATGGGGACTTACATTACTTTTGCTACCTGCATGGACCCTATCTGGATTTACTCCATCCCTTCAGCCGCTGGCCATTGTAGGAAAATGTAGCTGGCAGTTAAAAGAACAAAGATACTACGTTTAAAATTTGGTAAATTTACATTTTACTTTGAAAGTTTTGGGACTTACGTACCCTCTCAGGAGGACAATAATTTTACAGTACTTTAACCCCCTTTGAGGGTACAGCCACTAACAATCTAAGTTACTAATCTAAATTACGAATCTTTAAATTATGTCTATTTACCAAAAAAATTAATCAGAATTCATCAAACAAATCAATTTCTTTTAAAAAACCAATAATGAAATGATAATTAACATTTGTTAAAATATCCTTCATTGTTTTTACATTGAAATATTTATTCCTTATGATGGAGAATTCAACACAGTCAAGCAGGACATGCTTCACCGTTGTTCTCTCATCACAAAGGATACAAAACGTAGGATCTTCACCTTTTAATAGGTATTTGTGAGTATAACGCGTATGGCCAATGCGACATCGTCGCATAATGACCTCCCCCAAATCTGGACTGACAACCCAAGTAGGTGTAACCAATATAAGCTTTTATTTCATGTAATTTGTTAATAGTATTACCTACTTGGGTGTCCCACTTCTTCTGCTTCAGATCACGGATGTAAGTTCTAATACTAGCTTTGTAATCAGAGTATGGAATAAGAAGTGGTGTCACAGATTTATTGAGTGCTGCCTTAGCAGCAAGATCAGCCATATTATTCCCAGAAATGCCAGCGTGGCTGGGTAACCAACAAAAGACGACGTCGCATTGGCCAGCAGCAAGCTCATTATACAATTCACTAATTTCTATTGAAAGTGGATGTTTACAAGAAATATTTTTAATAACCTGAAGACAACAAAGAGAGTCGGAAAAGATGATGTATGGTATATATTTACGGTGTTTATTAATATATTTAAGAGCTGTTAATATGACGTTAGCTTCTGCTGTGAAAATAGAGCTGTTATTTGGTAGTCGAGAAGATATTGTTCTGGATCCAATGACAGTGGCACATGCAACCGCACCACCATTCTTGGATCCATCTGTAAATAAGGACTTGTATGTATTATATTTATTTTTTAATTGATTATATTCTTGTTTATATTGTAATTCATTAGTTTCTGCTATCTTAAACTTAGTCAGTGCGAGGTCAACTTGTAGTCTCACTAACTGCCTAGGAGGAGAAGAAAGAAGACGAGAAGAAGATATATTCTCCAGCTCAATGCCGGCAGCAGAAATGAATGGTTTAAATCTATGCCCAAGAGGCGGAACAAGAGGAGACTTCTGGTTGTACAAATCCTCATAAAGAGGATTAAAGATACAGTTAAATGCAGGGTTAGACTCGTTAGAATTTAGTTTGGTAATATATTGTAAAGATAATCTAATACGGCGTTGGGAAAGAGAAGGCCCATTTGCCTTGACATAGAAACTATCAACTGGAGAAGTTATAAATGATCCAAGACAAAGTCTTAGACCTTGGTGGTGAACAGAATCAAGTAGTTTAAGGTTGCTTTTGCAGTTGTTTCTGATATCTCTGAAACTCATGGACATAATTTGCCGATGGTGAATTTTTGGCAAGAGAAGATGGTTCAAAGAATTAAAGGCAAAGGTTCAAAATCTGCTGTTCACCACCTTAAAGGTGGTGATAATTTAATAACTGACACGTCTAAAATGGCAAATAATATTGGCGAAACTCTTGCCAAAAATTCTTCATCGGCAAATTATGTCCCTGAGTTTCAGAGATATCAGAAACAACAGGAAAAGACAAAACTTAATTTCGAATCAAATAACGGTGAAGATTATAACGAAATGTTTTCATTACATGAGCTACATACTGCTCTTGAGCAAGCTCATGACACTGCAGCGGGTGATGATAATATACATTACCAGCTACTGAAACACTTATCTGAACCATGTCTGATGACACTTTTAGATATATTTGACCAAATATGGACGTCTGGAGAATTTCATCCTTCGTGGCGTAATGCCATTGTAGTCCCAATACTAAAACCTTGCAGGGATCATACATATCCGTCTAATTACAGACCGATATCTCTAACTGGCTGTGTCTGTAAAACC